ACGCACAAAAAGTCAGCTACAATAAACCACTTCACAGTAAATCACGCTGTTTAAACACCATGACGGCTTTTCTTGCTTTCAAAGTCATCAGCACTTGGATATTCGTCTATTTTCAAAAAGGCTTTACTACAAAACTTTGGCAAAACACCCACTTCACGACAGCGATTTTGTTCTGCTTTATATTCACTACCTAGCGAGGTGAATATAACGTCACGGTCCGAAATAGCTACCAAATCAGACTGTTTGAATTACTAAGATCACTGGGTGTGTATATCACAGGAAAAAATCCCCAATTCTCAAGATTGGTAAAAACATGGTATCATTAACTTACCAATGATTTACCAATAATATACCAACTTTGAAAAAAACTTCGACTAGGAGTCAGGTTTATACACCTTGGTACAAGTATCTTTCAAAATTTATCATGTTTGCAAATTGGTTAAGAGTGGTTGTCAGAGAAAACCGGGCAATATATTAAAAATGTCAACGGAAGGGGGTCAACAGAATAAGTTCATACTAACATCATAGATAGGTTAGGTGGAGTAATGGACAAATATAATAAACATAGGTTCTTCACTGCTATTGTCTTAGAGATACGAGCATCACTCTATTCGACCCTCTCGGACGCCATTTTTATAAGCAAATTTTCACCATTTTCTGAAACTCACAGACCCCTCAAAATTTAACGAGCAAAGTTTATTTTTTGTATGCGATACAACACATCATAGAACTACTTTCTAAAACCATAAGATTTGTTACGCAGCCACGGACAAGACTAAGATTTTCTTATTTCATCTGACCTAAACTCAGTGTCTGCAAACGAGCAAAAAATCGGGCGTTTTTGAATTGATCTACAGCGCACAACTAAAACGACAGAACAACTCTGACAGCCAAATTGCAGTCTACTATCATCCTAGGCCATTGAAACAGGAAGAAATTAGAAAACTCACATTTGTTATAGTTTCCAAGCTTTTTCTTGCAAACAGGCCGATCCCTTCGTGTTTGTTTTCAGTCCTCTTCGTGAATTTTCTTCCATATTTCGCCGTAAAGTATGTTCAGCAGTTGGAGGAAATATCAAAAAGCTCGAAATACTGCCTAGGTTACTTGTTCAAAGGGCAAAAAGTACTGAACAACAGGATGAAACTAGAAAATAACAAAGCGACGCCATCTTGAAAATTCAGCACTCAGGGGGGACTGGCACTAGTAGCTGCCTTGTCCACAACGTGATGAATTACCAAATAGATAAAAAACAAAAACAAAAAAACAAACCGGCTTATCAGTTACCTACTACAGTCCTATTTCTTCTTCAATCACTACTTTGAGTTAAATTTAGCTTTTTTTGTGTTGTCGGTTTTTTTTTTGGCGGTGTGATAGGGTGTGGTGAAGTTGACCAATTGGCATTACTTTATTCAGTCTTCATTTACTCTTCATTCACTTCCTTTTGAGTTATCCAGTATAAGTCTTTCTTTGGAATCTTTATTATATCCTCTATTTTTGCGTCAGTCTTCAATCACCGTCCATGTCCGAAGGTCCACTCATCTCCTGTTCATGATTTCATGATGCGCTTTTCACATTCCGGAAGGCTTCGCCCGAAGGGTACCTCTTTCAAGCATCAGGTGTAACAAAGGGTAGGAAAATCACAAGTTGAAGTATGTGAAAGGAGAGGAAAATCTTTCATTAAGTAAACACGCCTTATCGCAATATCATTTACATGTTAATTCAGTTAAAGGTTACAAGAAAATGGTCCGAAGACCTCCTTTCTTACCGATTTATTCCCACGAAGCATATAAATGAAAAGGGTACAACTTTTCAATGGATGATACACGAAAGGAGTACCTTTTCCAAAAAATAGTATATATAAGGGTAAGGGACTGGACCTCGGGGCGAAACCTCTCGGAACAATGTTTTATTGAGTAGCCTCCCCTTCTCCCTAGGGCTTTCCACAAGTTGCTCGGCAACTTTTTGGCAACTTCTAGTATTTCGAGCAACTTTTTGCATAATTTCTGAGCAATTTCTCTTACTAGTTTTTTTTTCCAATTCTGAGATATCTGAGCAGCTCTTAGTGCTTAAATTAGCCTTGCTTCCATATTGCACAGTGTTTTAGTAGACAATTTATGAATTTCCTATGAAAAAGGAGCCAGATCCTCACCCCTTGGGGGCAGATGATGGGCGCAAGATGCAGCCGGGCTGAGGTGAAGAAGGTCATTCAACAATTTTGATGGCTCCTACTAGAATTTTTACAAGATTAATATTAATATTGATGTGTAGTCTTTACTCCTACATTGTTTGGTATTAAAATTGTGGTTTACAAGGTTGGACACTTAATTTTGAGAGCACTCGCCATTCGGGCGAGTAACCCTCAAAATGCACTCGCCCGGATAAGTTTTCACTCGCCCAAAAGTTTATCCCCCCCCGGTCACTCCAACCATTTTAGTCATCTTTTATTTTAACTGAACCACTGAATTTTATTTCACAAGACTGATGAAAGGTTTTTCAGTGA